CCCACCCAGATGAGTCACCTGCAGCTCTGCCCCACGCCCTGCTCTGGGGTCATGTTCACTGCTCTGGCTAGGCAATGTCCCTGCCCTACTCCCTCCCTCACCGTGGGGGCCTTAATCTGCACCCCCATGCCTCTTCCCTCCCCCACACCCCTTCCTCCCCAGGCTCACCAGCTGAGTGCTGCTCTCCAGGTTGTCAGGCTGCATTCATGTAAATCAGGTATCGGGTTGGTATCCACCGATATGGCTGGTTAATCATCAGCTATCAGTATCGGCCAAGAAAATCTTTATTGGTACACCCCTAATTATGTCAATATAAAAATCCCTGATATAAGTATTGATTTTCCCATACAGGGAAGGGAATAAGCTATACCAACCAATACAACAGTAGAAGTTGTTCTTACACAGAAATTGATATGAAGCACCTTTAAATGTGTGTCACCAATGTAAGTGAGTCAAAATAAGAGTCTGGCTGCCCTGATGTATTTTCTTTTCCCACACAGAAACAACAATCCTGTAAGAATGCACCTTTACACAGCATAATTGCATCTAAACAACGTGGTACTGCTCCTTTAACTGTATCGGTGTCAATGAAGTGATACAATTTGTGAGAGTAAGCAAGTCCTTATAATCAGAGCTGTCCTCCTGAAGTTCTGAATGAGGCATGCAAGTTTTGCTGCTTTCATGAAAAAGCATTAGTGCAAATGAGTACCCCAAATCTATTTCCATTCACTTCTCTCTGTATGGAAGGATCAAAACTCTCAAATTCCTTGAAGATGGAAAAATACAAATGAACATATATAGCTAATAGATTACTTACTTCCCCAGCTCCTCAGTGTGCCAACGTATGAAATGCCAGCTTCTTCAGTCCTTGCCACCAACACCAGTAGTGCTCACCCCAAGAGGTCACACACTAAAGAAAGAAATCTGTGCAAGGAAAGAAAAAAAAGGTCAGAGGTATACTGCATTAACACAGGTGTCCAAAAGTTCCAACAAACCAGTCAGCAGAGAAGAAAATAAAAACTGCTAAAGACTAGTCTTCTGACATAAGATTTGGCAGGGAAGCTCAAGTCAGTGACTTCCACTGGAGTCAGAATAACACGAAAAGTTGTCTGTGAGACAGTAGAGCAACAGTTCCGAAACTGTGGTGCACATACCACCAGTGGTACGCAGATGACCTGGAAGTGGTACGTGGAAGGCCAGGGGGAGGGGCCACACATCCACAGCCCAACAGCAGCCTGCTGCACACAGCCAGGAACACAGCACCGCGTGTGGAGCTGCACCCAGAAAGTAAGTGTGTTGGGGAGGGTAGAAGGGAAGAGGAAAATCAAGGCCCCCGTGGTGAGGGAGGTAACGGGGTACAGGCAGGGCAGGTAGTGGGGCGCTCAGAGCCTGGGCAGCTCACCCAGGGGAGGGGGAGCTCCCAACCATTGCGAGCATCCAGGGGAAGGCATGTGGGGCACATGCCCCCTGAATCTGTGAGTGGGGCAGAGGAGGGCTGCCACTGCACATTGGGCTCTAAACCACGCTACTGCTGTCCTGGGAGCCTCGTGAAACATCATGTGTCTGCCATATGCTGGCTACACTGCATACTCTGCCCACCCAGCAGCAACAGGCACATGGCGTCCTATGTGGTTCCAGAGGCATCTGTAGCGCGGTGCAGAGCACAGCAGCAGCCCGCTGCTCCCAGGGATTTTCTCCCCTCAGGCTGGCTCGCCCCATCCTCACGGCAGGGCTGACACAAAGGTGGCCTGGGCCTTTCCAGGGATGTAGGGGGACTCCCCCCCGCTGGATGCACCCTGGGGCCTCCTGGACCTGTGTGCAGGGCAGAGGCAGGCTGCCCGCTGGGCTCTGCACCATGCTGCTGCTGGCTCCGAACCTGCACAGGATCCCATGTGCCTGCCACTGCCATGCAGGCTCAGGTCACCCCAGGAAGGGCCTGGGTGGCGGGAGTGGCCACTTCCTTCTGTGCTGGCTCTGTGAGGGGACACCACCTGACCGAGGCAGGGTGCTGGGCTCAGGCAGGCTTTCAGGTCCGGGCTCAGCCTCACTGTGCACCATCATATCAATACATCATATCAGTCCAGGATTGTGATATGAATTTTCTTTTCTCAAGCAAATAAAGTTATGGTGAGGCTTTTAGGTAACTAAAAATACTTTGGACTCTTAACTATTATCACAGATGCAGAAAGTAGGGTTCTTCCCTGTTACATGTACACGCCAACCAAATAATCTGTATCAAGTAGATCTGTCGCTATTTTAGGATGAAGTTACACATTACACTTAGATCACACTAAGGGACACATACAACATGAGCATCAACATGTTAAAGCTCATTAACTCATGCTAAGTGCCCTCTGAGCATTTCAAAGTTACACTACTAGAGGAAGGGATTAATTCTGGGCCCTACTACCCAGCTATTGTTATGGTAACTTCAGTCTGCTCCACAGAGATAAAACAAGCAATTTGTTGTTCTTCAGCATCCCAGGATGCACCATCCCAGCCCCAGCAGGGATAGAGCCCAGGTGTCCTGGCTCCTAGCCATGTCCCTGGTCGCCAGCCCTCTAGTGACAAATCAGAGCTGTGCAGACTAGAAACAGTATGAACCCTCAATGTGCAACTGCTCAAAGCACGTTTCAATTATAACACCACTTATTTTCCACAAATTTAGTAAGGTCTAAGCGTAACATGTACCTGCACCAACACAGTATCATTTTTCATTTAAATTTATTCCCTCCAACCTTGTCATCTGGGATTTAATTAAACTAAGCTGAGGACCTGGATCTTATGTCCTGTTTAAAAGTACCTCAAGCAAGAACATTCTGTTTTTGCTTAGCAAAATCAGAATAAAACAAAACCAAAGCATTGCTTCTCAATTAAAAAAAAATTTTTTTTAAGCTTAAATTATCTTCTCTATCTTAGACTAGGTACAGATATTCAGTTCCTACCAGGAGAGTCACCATTCTCCCAGCAGAAATGAAAAGCGTACAAATATACAGGCTTTGTCTCCTAAAACAAAATGCCTGGTTTGGGAGAAAAATATCCTGGCCACAACCAGGGTTAAATTGTTTCTGGAAGTTTCTCCCATGAGACAGTCTCTATGCACTTTCCCATGGCTTAGTGGAGCCAGGTAAAAGCTCCCTGCCTTCCTGAGACCAGTGTCACCCCACTCTTGATGCATGGGGGGCAGCCATTCCCTCCCCTGCTTGTAGACCAGGGAGGTGTGAGTACCAACAGACACCACCCCTGCCTCTTCCCCAAATCAGGCAATTCCCAGTTTTGGAAAGATGCAAGAGGCCTGATGGCTCCCACCAGTTTCCCTTTGCCATCCCTGCTGTCTAGCCAAGCAGTGGGGCAATGATTTAAAAGTCAGAGGCTGGTAGCAGGCCTCCAGGAATGTCTCCCCAATCCAGCTCCCACTGGCATCCTCTTTCCGCCCCACTGCTTAGCTGGGTAGTGGAGCAGCAAGGAGTCCAACCAGACTGGGGAAAGCCTCTGCATGCCTGGCTACCAGCCCCTCCAGCTTTTAAAATTACCACCATGCCACTCATCGGAGTGGAGCAGGGCCAGAGGAACCTGAAGGGACTGGGAACCGGACCTATGAATGCATTCTCCTGCTGGCTCCCAGTTCCTCTACTGTGCCCTTGTCACAAGGTACCTCAAGTCTTGCCCCAGTGGCTAAGTGCCTCCCCTTGCCCTAGAAGTGCAAGGAACAGAGCCGTTCTCCTGCAGGCAAGAACTTGGAGAGTTTCCACCAGGGAAGAATGTCCCCCTCCTGGCAATCAGCTGACTGGCAGGATAGGGGTGGGCATGCTCTGAGGGTGGGAACACTCCACTTCCTGGCTGTCTGTGGCAGCTGATGCTTTTCAGCAGCTACCACCTGACTTGATAGCCTCTCCCTGTCCCAGGCACAGAAGAGGGCAGCCTGGAAAGCAATGGGGTACCCTAAGAGAAGGGATGGCCCAGGGAGTAGCCCTCTAATGCCCCCTGGTTGGAGAGCTTTACAGACAAGCTCCCCAGTCATGAGGCTGAAGGAACATCTGTACAGTCCAGCTCCCCGGATATTTTTCTACTGAAAGAAATTTCTTTCCGTGAAATGAATATCTGTATACAGCCTTAGAGTGTTCTTGTTCCAAGTCCACTAACTGTCAAGTGCTAAAATGCAACGTATCATTTGCAAGAGATGACAGATAAGACAAGAACTTCTCATGAGTCATAAGAACTAAACCAGATGCAAAACAAAATGGCAATCTTCTTTTAAAAAACGGTATAATGTTTTTGAATGGCATCCGTTCATTGTTGAGTGACAGTGGATATTACAGTTATTCTACTGACTGGTGGTGGATCTCTCTTGTGGCTATAGAGACCGATGTTAGACTTGCAGGTCCTGCCACAGTGGTCACAGGTGTACATGACATTAGGGGCTACTGTACTGACAGGTCATTTCCTTCAGTTATATTTCTGTTGTAATTGGAGAAACCATTTCTCTTCAGGATGTTGGACTCCATGATTGATAAGTGAGTGCCACTCTGTCCTGTCTTCTGCTAAGGCGTCCCAAAAGTTTGGGTTGATTCCAAAGGCCTTCATGCCCTGCTTGCAGATGTCTTTGAAGTGCAATTTCAGGCACCCTACTCTTCTCTCCCCACCTGCAATTTGCCCATGCAGGATGTCCTTCAGGATGTGCCCATCTTCCATCCTACAGAGACAGCAAAGCCAGAGTAGGTGCCGGTGCTTGAATAGTGAAGTCATGGTTGGCAGGTTGGCTTTAGTGATGACCTCTGTGTTGGTAATTCTGTCTTGCCACTTGATGTCAAGGTTGTGCCATAAACAGTATAGGTGGAAGCTGTTCAGTTTCTTTTTTTAATATTCATATGTTGACTATGTCTCACTGCTGTACATCAGAACACTGAGGATTGCAGGTGTTGTACACAAGCAGCTTAGTTTTGATTACGACTTCTGTATTATTCCAGACTTGTTTGGACAGCTTAGTGAAAGTGGTAGAAGCCTTTCCCATGCACACATTTAACTCTTCATCAAGTGATAAGTTGCCACTCACTGTAGATCCAAGGTAGCACAACTTGTTCACTGCCTCAAGAGGTGTGTTGTCAAGGTTGATAGGTGCTGACTGGTGAACCACCTGTCCTAGGACCACAGTCTTCTTAAGGCTGATGGTCAGGGCAAACATCCTGCAAGCATAGGCCCAGCAATTCATGAGCATTTGTAGCTGGCCTTCTTCATGGGCAAGTCCAGTATTATCAGCAAAAAGGAGCTCCCTAGTGAGTATGTGCCTCACTTTTGTCTTGGCCTTTAAACATGATAAATTGTAGAGTTTGCCATCTGATCTTGTGTGAAAGTATATGCCTTCCTCCAAGCCATCAAAAGCATAATGCAGCAGCATAAAGAACATATTCCCAAACAGTGTGGTCACCAGAAAACAACACTGCTTCACTCCACTCTTCATCGCAAACCTGTCAGACGTTGATCCATCAAACTGAACTGTGGCCTACATGTTTTTCTGGAAGGAGTGCATCATAGTGAGTAATGTCAGGGGGCATCCAATCTTTGCCAGGACCTTGAACAAACCTGCTCTGCTGACCATGTCGAAAGCTTTCAAGTTGACAAATGCTACGTATGGCTTATTTTGTTCTCTGCATTTTTCTTGCAGTTGGCAAAAGGAGAATATCATGTCCACTGTTGATCTGTGCTCTGAATCCACACCGTGATTCCCGGTAGATGTGGTCAGCAAGTTACTGCAAGTGTTTCAGAATGACTATGGAAAAACGCTTGCCTGTGATGCTGAGGAGAGAGATGTCCCTATAGTTTTTGCAGTCATCCTTGTCTCCTTTGTTCTTGTAGAGAGTGATGATGCTAGCATCATGCATGTCCTGGGGTACCAGCATGACATCTGCTTGTTCTTATCCGTGATT